CTATCTATCTATCTATATCCATATATCTATAGATATATCTAATAGATATCTATATATATAGATATCTATCTATATATCTATATATCTATAGATATATCTAATATATAGATCTATATATCTATATATCTATAGATATATCTAATATATAGATCTATATATCTATATATCTATAGATATCTATCTATATATCTATAGATATATCTAATATATAGATCTATAGATCTATATATCTATAGATATATCTAATATATAGATCTATAGATCTATATATCTATAGATATATATCTATAGATATATCTAATATATAGATCTATATATCTATATATCTATAGATATATCTAATATATAGATCTATATATCTATATCTATAGATATATAGATCTATAGATCTATATATCTATAGATAGATAGATAGATAGATAGATAGATAGATAGATAGATAGATAGATAGATAGATAGATAGATAGATAGATAGATAGATATTTAAAAACAGTGGTTGCATGTGTAATATGTGATAAAGGTTTTGTTTTTTTACTGTGTGAGCAATCTGCTAATATAAATCTGTGAAAATCTGCTAGTCAGTGCTCAGAGTTTTTATGTATATGAACATGTTTTCCTGCTGTAAAGGGAGATGTCAGATGGTGTTTCTTGTTCTCTCTCAGGTTGGATCGCTATCTTGGGTGCGCTCTGGCTTTTGGTTCTGGCTGACATTCAGGATTTTGAGATCATCTTGCACCGAGTGGAGTGGGCCACGCTGCTGTTTTTTGCCGGCCTCTTCGTTTTGATGGAGGTATTTAACATACAGGCCGAGTTTCTGGCATTTAACGGAAAGCTCGTTTCTATTTTTTTCCAAGGAAATTTTGGACCACAAATTGAACAGTGAAAACTAAAAACTGATGCCAAACAACAACTTTTAATTAGAGCCACTTGAAGCATCCAGATCTAAGATAAATGTAGGTTTAGCTGGGGTCTGCTCTGACGAGCAGCTTCACAGGACACTAAGGAAAAACAGAATCAATGCATAGATTCAATTGACAGTGCAGCTGGCAGTCAGCTCGCAATGTGCAAAGTAATTATCTGTATTTTCACCCATGAGCTTCAATGAAAGGATGCAAAGAAAAGTGTCCTGTCAGCACAGTGAGGGCTTTGTTGTTTCTCTCTTTGTGGGCAAAACTACAACACAGTGTAGAGTCAGTGAAGCAATGCTCACCAGCACATGAATAATATTCAATCTCAGGAATGATAACAAGGATACATCTGTCTCTGTCTATTTAATAGCCACTAAATGGAAACCAAATTGCTTTTCTTCTTTCGGTTTAATCTCACCTTTAAGTGATTCTCTTCTGATTTTTTTTTCTTATTAATCTTCTCCTCTTCCTTTTTCAGGCTTTAGCCCAGCTGCAGCTTATTGACTATATCGGAGAACAGACAGCACTGCTTATAAAAGTAAGTTTCCCCTTTGATTCTGAACCTTTACAGTCATCTCTCAGGTCTCTGTGCGACTGGCATCGCTGATAATTGGGCACAGGTGATGCGATATTGCATTCCATGCATATCGATCCTTTTGTTCTGCCTGGCTCGGAATTCAATTATTTTCTTTGCATCTGACTCCTGCAGGCAGCTGAAGGGGTCTGAAGTAATTTTCACCCATATTCTTGCCTCTGTGCGTCATGCGAGCGATGTGTCTCTTAGCAGAGAATTGCACCAGTAATAGCTACGTCAGCTTGTGTTTAGACTGCGGGCCCCTGCGAGCCTAATAATGACACATGACAGGTAGTGTGCTATTTGTGGTTTGTGACCCACTCGGTGTCCCAGAACCATGGACAACATGCTGTGAGAGCTGCATGGCCTTTCTCTCTTCGTAGGGCTGCAGGACAGCTGAAATAAAGGAGGAGACTCTGTTTTCCTTACTGTCGCCATGAAGAGGGTTCAAATCACACCGCATGCGGTGAACCAGCCTCGCTGTGCGCCTACAGCACAGATAACACTCAAAGCCACCACCTGTGGTTGTGTCACACATTCAAACAGCTTCATCCTCTCAGCTTCTGCTCCCCGAGGAGGGGTTCGGTGTCAGAGACTGAACATAATTGTTGTGTTTGATTTAAATCAGCGAAGGCGGAGAGAGGGTGTGTGCGTGTGAGCGGCAATAAAAGTAGCAGTTATCTGTCACTCTTATCTCCCCTGTCAGGCGGTGCCAGAAGACCAGCGCTTGGCTATAGCCATTATCTTGGTGATGTGGGTCTCGGCTCTGGCTTCTTCTCTCATTGACAACATTCCCTTCACTGCCACCATGGTAAGAGCCCTGAGCCTGATATCACAGCTGCAGTATATCACACTCTTACACAAACAAGTCACATGCAGATTCTGTGACATGGAAGAGAGACGATTTATAATGTGTAGCTACAGCAATTAAATGCTGATACAGAAGTTAAAAGATGTGTATCATTCGGGGGGGGGGTTCTTATTAAAAAATACATAACAGGCAGAGATGCAACCAGGGATTAGGGCTGTATTATGTATTAATCAGATGTGGGAGGAAAAAAACAGGCTCAACATGTGTTAATCATTTCATAATTGGAGGTTTATTTCTGTAAAAACTGTCTGAACAGCTACTGCCTCACCACGTCTATTGTCAGCTGTCTTTTTCCCCCAAATTAATAGATTCAGCAGAGATCAATGTTTCAGAGGAGTGCCTCTGTGCTCAATTAAAATGACACTGAGAAAGGAGAAAGATGTTATCCCACTGACAGAATGAGATGCTGCCTGTGAGAATTAAACCATCACATTTTTTGACTAGTCAGTGTGTCCATGGGGTTTTTTGAAAATGTCCTTTTCTCTGATTGTTTTTTTTTCCGCCCATAGTTTCAGGTCCATGCAAGAATTGCTCTACCTGAAAAGAAGAGCACTTCAAAGCGCGTCACTTTTCAATTCAGTGCACCGCTGATAAGAAGAAAGATGTCCTGATTGGCACAATAGAGTGAGGCTGAGGAAAGATTTGTTTTCCCCCTTCAGTCCGCAGTGATTGAGATTAGGAAATTTATGTATGAATGAATCAATTTAGAAGCATTTTCAAAGCAACAGTTCTGCATTTACACTTATTTGCTTTCTGTGCCAGAGTTACAGGAAACTATTGATACTTCACTCATGTCTGTATATAAAAAAATTACCGATCTTGCAGTGAGAGCATCGAAACAAGAGGTACATCGGAAGAGGACAAACAAATATTCTCCTTAAAAACATCCAACTGTTTGTTCATAATCATTTCAAATGCATTTTTTAAAACTATTTTACCCATTCCTGCAAAAATACATTTAAAGTTTGCTTCCCTAACAAGGGGCAGGCATGTAGATTGATATAAAGCAGCTGTCAAAACTGGTACATATTTCAAAATATGAACAATAATGAATAAGACCAGCAAATAAGATCCTATCAGGAAATACTAGAGGTATATGGAGGCCTTAACTCAACTCAGGCGTAGGTTTGTTTTCTCATACTTTTGTACACTCTCATATACATGTACTTTCACATTGGAGAAGTTGCCCCCTGCTGGGTATTAGAAAGAATTCAGAGAAATAATAATACTTTTCCAAAAGGAGAACAGTCAGGCTTTATTCATCATGGAGTCCATAAACATGTTATTGTATAGCACTTGCGTCATAACCACACACACACACACACACACACACACACACACACACACACACACACACACATATACATCTTTTCAAAGTCTTTTTTATTATATTAGTGTCAGTTTATATGTAGAGATATCAAATCTCATTGACCATAATGCTTTCCCTAGCCGCTTACCCTAAACATCAAAAATGAATGCCTAACCTTTAGCCTAAACATAACCTAATTGTAACCCTGACACTAAAACCACATTTTGAACCTCAAAAATGCCTCGTGGTGACTCTTGGTCCCCACAGGTATAGTGACATCCCAATTTTCTGTCCTCACAAAGGTGTCTAAACATGTACACACACACACACACACACACACACACACACACACACACACACATCCTTCTTGTAGTTAAAAAAAAGCACAAAAAAAAACATTTCGCCATATTAAAAACAGAGTATGTAAAATTTCAAGAAAGAGCTGTTTTCATGATTTTAAATCTGTCTCTGCAGATTCCTGTTCTCATCAACCTGAGTCAGGATGCAGATGTGAACCTGCCAGTTAAACCGCTCATCTTTGCTTTGGCTATGGGAGCCTGTCTGGGTGGTAAGTATCGCTTCTTGGGCCTCATATGCTGTATTATAAAAATAGTGCATTGCATGTCAGTTTTGGGAAAAATACACAACAGCCTTCCAGACTCCCTCACAGACATCAGGGACTTTATAGTTTATCCCTGTTTGAAAGGTGTGGATCTTTATTGATGACGGCTGCCAGAAGAAGACAACATATGCTCCAGGTGACAGCCACACTTTGTACAGCTGTGTCGCTCCCCGGGGAGGTCAGGCTGCGCTCTTTGTGGGAGCAGCCTCAGGGCTCTCAGAGATCGCCTCACTCAGGCTCATTCTGCGCCCCAGTGGCCAGCCCTTCATCCGACTGTGGCTCTGCTCCGATGGGAAGGACACAAATGGAGAGAGAGAGCTGTCATAGTGTTTCAGTTTAATCAACTGCACTGTGACAGGTCTTTATCGACTGGCAGTGTGATGTTGCCCCTGCCAAGCTCCATCCTCACACTGACACCTTTTGAGATGTGGGCAGTATTGAACTGCAGGATGGGTACGCGTGCTGACTGTTAAAGCAATGCTTTATGAGATTAAGTCAGAAAAGTGATCAACAGTATTGTAAGACTGTAAAGTACTCATGCTCATAATGTTGAAATACTTTACGTTGACTTATGTTTTGCTCCGCTCTATATTTTTATTATTGGGTTCTTCTAGAGCAGCATTGCACGAGTTGAACACGAGTCCTTACTCATCTTCTACTAAACGTTGATGCAGCCACTCGCTCCACTCTCTTCCTAAAACAAGCATCCTGTCTCTTTATGGCCTCTCTTCCTTAAAAGCACACGTTCCTGTTACTTCTATTGAGCTTCTGCAAACAGGCTGTGATGGTTCTGTGCAGTGTGTCTTCCTCTTGCAACGGTAGAGGAAACCAACTGAGAAACATACTGTAATTTCCCATTCTGAAACAGTAGTTACAGTGGAGATTTGTTTCAAGTGTCAATACAAGACAAACATTTCAGAGATGTGTAAGTAACCAATCACTGAAATGTGCTTTTCTAACTCGTCTTCATTTCCCTTTACAGATGAAAAAAAATCATCATCTTCTAACATTAGTCAGCTAAAGATCCACCTTCATAGTGGGCTCTGATTGCAGAAGCTGACTTTCTGGTCTTTAGCTGTTTTGTTTTGTTTTTCTGAGAAAAAGAAAACTAATACCCACGGCTCTACTTCTTCAGGAAATGCATAGTATTTCAAGTTTTCTTTTCTGGTCAACCTCCAAAAATGTTTTTAAGCAAACTGATGGAAGTATTTCTGAGTCAAACTGAGCAGGTGGGTGGGCGTGCTGTGATCAGAGCAGAGCTTCTTCTGAAACCGTACAAAGAGAGACCCTCCATTTAATGCCAATCAGATCCAAGAATAGAAAACAAAATGTTTTTGAAACAGGATGTGAAACAGTGCAGCGTTTCAGAGACACTGACCTGTTTATTTGCAATTTTAGCCATGTTTAATATGAGCGTCCAGCTTTGTAGCATTATCTGTTTGCTGGGAAGTAATACAAAGCAGTTTAGGCAAGGCAAGTTTATTTATATAGCACAATTCAACAACAAGGTGATTCATAGTGCTTTATAGAGACATTAAAAAACAAAAACAATAAAAAGCACGATTTAAAATTGATTACAGAGAAAAAACACAAAACAAAAAAACAGTAGATAAAATCAGTAGTTAAAATATAAGTTTTGAATTTTAAGCTTAAAAGTGTGGATTTGGTGTTTTATTCAAATGCAGCTGAGAATTAAATAAACTGAGTGTTTCAGCTGATCTGAGGCTTTCTGGGAGTTTGTTCCAGATATATGGAGCATAAAAGCTGAATGCAGCTTCTCCGTGTCTGGTTCTGACACTGGGAACTGATAAAAAAACGGATCCAGATGACCTGAGGGATCTGGAAGGTTCATACTGGGTCAGGAGGGCACTGATGTATTTTGGTCCTAAACCATTCAGAGCTTTATAGGCCAGCATCAGAACTTTAAAGTCTATCCTCTGACGTACAGGCAGCCAGTGTAAAGACCTCAGAGCTGGACTGATGTGGTCCACTTTTTTGGTCTTAGTGAGGACTCGAGCAGCAGAGTTCTGAATGAGCTGTAGTTGTCTGACTGATTTTTTAGGTAGACCTGTAAAGATGCTGTTACAGTAATCAAGCCTACTAAAGATGACTGCATGGACTAGTTTTTCCAGGTCCTGTTGAGACATCAGATCTTTTATCCTTGAAATATTCTTGAGGTGATAGTAAGCTGATTTTGTTATTGGCTTAATGTGTTTTTCTAAGTTTAGGTCTGCATCCATCACTACACCCAAATTTCTCGCCTGGTTTGTGGTTTTTAGGTGTATAGATTGAAGTTGAAGGTGACCTGTAATCGTTTTTCTTTGGCTTCAAAGACTATTACTTCAGTTTTGTTTAGCTGGAGAAAATTGTGGCACAACCAGTCATTAATTTCCTCAGTGCATTTACCAAGAGCCTGTACAGGGCCTGATATATATTTGTGTGTCATCTGCATAGCTATGATAGTTTATTTTGTTGTTCTTTATAATCTGTGCCAGTGGGAGCATGTAAATGTTAAACAGATGGGGTCCCAAGATGGAACCTTGGGGGACTCCACATGTGATACTTGTCTGCTCAGATGTGAAGTTACCTATTGATACAAAGTATTTCCTGTTTTCTAAGTATGTTTTGAACCAGTTTAGTACAGTTCCTGAAAGACCTGCCCAGTTCTCCAGTCGTTTGAGTAATATGTTGTGGTCAACTGTATCAAATGCTGCACTGAGATCCAGCAAAACTAAGACTGACATTTTTCCACTGTCTGTATTCAGACATATGTCATTAAACACTTTGGTCAGAGCGGTTTCAGTGCTGTGGTTCTGTCTAAAACCTGACTGGAAGGCATCATAGCAGTTATTCTGTTTTAAGAAGTAATTGAGCTGTTGAGAAACTGCTTTTTCAATGATCTTACTGAAAAATGGGAGATCGGCCTGTAGTTGCTCATTTGTGTCTTGTCAAGATTGTCCTTTTTCAGTATAGGTTTAATTACAGTTTTTAGTGGTTCTGGAAACACACCTGACATTAAAGAAAAGTTTTCTCTGACTTTTTTCTCTTTTCTGTTTAGGAAATGGCACATTGATAGGAGCATCAGCCAACGTTGTGTGTGCAGGCATCGCTGAGCAACATGGATATGGCTTTTCCTTCATGGAGTTCTTCAAGTAAGCAAAGGCGCCATTAACAGCACGAAGCAGTCCCATGCACAAAGAGGTCATAAACAGCAAGTTTGAAAAGTTCCTCTGTTCTTGGTTTGTGGTGCTGAAATACGATAGGCTATTCAGCCTGAGGGGCTACTTACACATTTATGTCCATCATATGTTGCATTAGAAATTGCCAACAGTGTGTATGAATAGCCTGAGAACATTTAGAGAAAACGTGTCGCACTGAGTATCATGTGACAGAACACGTTTAGTTTGTCTTTGTGCAGCAGGTGCAGCGTTCTGTGAGCAGACTCCAGGAAACAACACGATGCGCACGGGTTTGTTATGTAGTGCAAGCAGTGATTTGAGTCTGTGTCCTCTTCAGTGACCCTGTAGAGAAATGTTTACTACAGTGAGTGTGGAGGAAGTCAACCTGCAGCAATATTCTCTCATGTCGACAGAAATAGAAGTCCCCCAGTCACGCTGAACCATGAAAGAGGCATAAACAGTGTAACATATGTGTGACTGATTGAACTGATACTGAGTGAAACCGTCCAACCGTGGAGCCTGATTTCAGAACTCTAGGGTGGTTACAAGAAAAAAAGTCGAATGAATGGCAGAAAATGTGGTTATATCGCAGGCTGGATGGTCAGCAGGCTTCCTATCAGGTTGCCACCTGCTCACTGATAATTTGCACCCTGGCGACACAGCAGTCAGACACGCTTTATGGTTTGCTTGTTGGAGAAGCCGAAGGGGTCAGTTATGTTGAAAAAAGCATGAATATGAGTCTGATTAGGCTTGATATGCCATTGGGTTGGAACTGCATCGCTATTTTATTTAGGGAACAGTGGAAATGTAATGCGCGTGAGGGTTGAAAAGAGACAAAGTCAGAGGATTTCTTTTGGGATTTGTGTAACAGATTTGAACAGAGACTTGATTTAACATTAAACTTGTGACACTTATGACTGAACGCGGTGTCTGTGGCTTACTGTAAATTATTGTCATCAAAGATTTGAAAGTGTTTTCACTGGATGGAGTGACAGCGCTTTCATCATATCAATCACAGACAACATTTATACTGATATTCTATCTATACTCACCACCTAACATTTTCTGAAGCGCCGCCGTGAAGGTGACATTTCAGTTTGTAGTCTAAAGAACATTGATGTTCCCATTCCCAGTCCTTCCATGTGAAAATCTGGAGACGAGGAGAGCAGGACCGAGCACCCCCAGACAGAACAGACTGGGATTCATCATATAACAGCGATAAAATTCTGTGATATAAAAAGGAGGAGCTGAGGAAGAGATGGGTTGCTAAGAGGTTTGCAGATGCTGCAGTTGTTTAAGTTGTGTAATCCTGGCTTGATTTTAAGGAAAATACCATACCATACCATACCACCTTTATTTATAAAGCACTTTAACATAAAACCAGAGTTCACAAAGTGCTGTACATGCTAAAAGCAAATTAAAATGAGATAAGATAAAATAAATAACTAAAAAACTAAAATAAATTAAAACATGTCAAAACAAATTGAGTCAACGCCTCTAATCAATGCCAAAGGCTTCAGCGAATAAATATGTTTTAAGAAGACTTTTAAATTCTAAAAATGCTAAATTGATTGGAACTTATTAATGCCTTCTACTCAGTACTTTCTAGTATTCACACACACACATTCTCACACCATTAAATGCCCAAAGGATGTGGACCGGAGGAGTCAGGGATAGGTCCACAGGGACCAACCAAATGTTCTAGCTTTTAGTTCTCAGATGTTTCCCATTGTCTTCCTCTGTTTTAGTGTGTTCCCTGGTCTGATATTTTGTTAGAAGTTAGTTTTCATGTACTGGTCTCTTGTTTTACTGTGAAAGTTTTCTTCAATTCCCTGTGTGGTTTTGCTTCCCCTTGAGTGATTATCCTGTGTGTCTTCACCTCGTTGTAATTCTTTCGCCCATTTTCCCTCATTCCAATCAATAGACCAAGGGCGATAAATAGACTTCCTCTTTGTACTGTTAGTTCCTGTGTGTGTGTGTGTGTGTGTGTGTGTGTGTGTGTGTGTGTGTTTTCTTCTGTGCTGTCCTGTTCACCTTTTGTTTAAATTCTCTGGCTCCTCGTATTTGCCTTGCTGTCTACACTGTCTATTTTCTCTTGTATTTGGACTTTTTGTTACCTTGTGGATTTTACTATCAGCTTTCTGTTGGAATCCTCCTGCGTTCAGCATTTTGGGTCCTTAAGTCTACACTGTGCACAGCATCACTCTGAAAGGCACACTCTAATCAGCTCAGCTGATCAGTCAGGATTGTGACTTTGTGGCCTAACTCAACTAACGCTATGCTCAATTTGTTGTTTTCAGTGAGTTGTAATTTATTCTAAAGACTTGCAGAAGTATTGTACTTCCCACATACCTAAGCTACAGGATATGTTACTATGTTACTACTACGTTTTAATATTGTAATCTGATCTGCAGCAGGTTGCTTCATTGATATTCCTATTTACAGCTAATGAGACTGTGGCTGAGAAGAAAAAGAACAACTTCAGGTGACTTTTGGCATTAAGAAAATTCCACCATTACTTTTTCAGCCTTCGTTACCTGCTCAGTTGGCATGCCGCTAAAGCCAGTGAAGTAATTGGTGGAAAATGTGTCAGAGTTGGTTAAAGCTCGTTGACAAATTTCTTAGTGCACTAAAAAGACTCTGGGACGTCTGTCTGCAAAGGATTTCATTGAAATGGAGGGGAACAGTTGCAACCCGTCAGCTCTACTTCTCTCCCGCTGTAGCTGTGTTTACAGTTATTGGACAGGAGCATTGCTCTTGGCTGAAGCACTGTCTGTAATTGGATGTCTGTGGCAAGGGTCACTGCTGTTCAGAGAGACAGGCAAGGGGGAGCGAAGTCTGGTCTGCAACTCCGGGCAGCTGGGATTGACTAGTGCTGTATCAGGAGGATGAATTCAGGGGCCAGATGAGCCCACGGGGGCACAAATGCCTTTTTGATAAGCCATCACAAAGGAAAATGAGTAGCCTCGAATAGCTCAGCAGTTAGCATGGTCCCTGTTGCTTCCTTCGTGCCTCAAGGCCCTTATCATCCACCTCTCCACAAACCATTAACCTACAGTGCATCACTAAAGTAACAGCTCTGTATGTTGGTCGGTTGAATAGAAACTGCCACGGGTGCTTGTAATGCATTACACTCTAGAATAGACCCACTGCAAAATGTACTTGTAAATGCCCATCAATGTAGCAAATTGCTACAGTTTTGAGACACAAAAACAAATGACATTAGACAATGTAAGGTGCTTCAGAGTGTCTTGTTTTTTTGGACCACATGTTGCTCATGTACAGTCACCTGCAGGAAATCTATACAGAAAACAATAAGCCTCTGCACTACAGAGGCAGGTGTTTTAGCTTTATTTCTAATAAACACTGCAATCACGCTCATACATATTTTTGGAGGTTTTTTTTGTGTACCGCTTCACAGCTTAAACACTGCACCAGTGTGCTTTTTGTGCTCATTGAATAGAACAGATCAACCATTATCACAGGGGAGCAGCGCTGCTCTCTCTGTCCTACAGCCTCCACAGTCAGAGAAGCGCGGCCCATTGGTTTATCTAAAGAGTCTTTGAGATTGCATCAGGACTTTCAAAGAGCTCCCATCATATGCAATTAAGTCATTGTGTGAGATCACAAGGTTTGATGGGGATTTTTAGACAAGGTGAACCCTGCTCCTCTCTGTGGTATATTGTGGTGTCTTTTTCATGTGCCCCGTGTCCCCTCATGATGTGCCTGTGATCGGGAAATAGGTATTGCTCCGTAGAAAAGGATTCACTCATGCAGAGGTGACCTCAGGGGCTGTCTGACAGCGATAACAGCCAGACAGGCTCATTTTTCCCACAAGCAATATGTGATTATAGTGTAGTTTAAATGAAAAGCATGTGGTATTAACAGAAACCGAGCAGTGTAGTCAAAGAACTGAATTCTCACATTACAAATCAATATAAACACCAAAGCTGAAATGGCCCTACATCTGTGCAGCTGAATGCTGCGTTACTGTCCAGTCTGGAGGTGCTTCAGAGCACTGACAGACCTGTTCTATTCCATGCCTTCTCTGTGGTTCATCAACATATGAGGATGCTGACCTCTGCACAAAATAGGTAGCATTAACCACTTTGCATCTTTTTGCACAATATTATTTCCAGTAGCTGTCGGGTGCATATTGACAGCTACACTAAACGCTTTGTGTGTTTGGCTTGCTAATAAAACCTGTGAGAGCTTCCATTTTAATCAACAAATTCAACACAGATCATCGGCTGCTTTTGTCTTTGTTTAATCAGGACAGAATTTCATGCAGCAGATCTACCACGGCTTGATTGCAAACTGTCATGTGCAAAAACCTAAATTGATGAGAAAGGACTGGACTTAGGAAACTCTTTATTAATATATGGAAAATAAGGTGAAAGGCATTCTATGGAGCACTGAAAAGGAACTATTTTCTTTGGCTCTGGCTCTACTCTGGCAGCTGCAGCTGCAGTTCAACCCCAAGATTGAGAGCGCCACATGGTGATCTAAATCTTGGAAGGGACCACTGGTGAGCTGGGGGGCCAATAGGAAAACAGACTAATAGGTTATTGAAATATGTTGAGCCTGAAGTCAGAGTTTTCAGTGTCTTGAAGGTGGTGCTTTTCATCTGATTAGGTCACCACAGTAACTAGCAGTGTCTGGCGATGGTAGACAAGAAAAGAAAAAGACAGTTCCTTTCAGGTGCATGAAAATGAAGAACGTTTGGTTAGGAAACTAAGAATGTTACTACTGCAAAATGCTTACACCTTCTAGAGAAAAGACATTCACCATACTGAAAGTTTAGAGATGTGATACCAGTACTACAGAAGATGCTTTCTTCTGTAGATCTTTTACTTATTTACTTATTATCAGAAAAAAGAAAATTATAAATTCTAAACTTAATATATATTATCTAAAATCTTTTTAGTAAATCTTATATTATTTTCATCTTTTCTTCACAGTTCCCCTCACTTTTGCTACTGATGCGTAAATAATGATAATCACTCAAAAATGACAATGACCATTATGACTCAGTTGAGAAACTTTGAAACTGTTTTTTTTTGTTACACTTAAAATGCAGAATGTCTTAAAATCATGAAAGTGCTGAAGTGCCTGTAAAGCCTTAATATTCTTCAGTCCAAGTACTTATTTGCCATTTCTGCAAGCATATTCACTGGAAACCTCATAATTTAGTTTGAGCAGCAGACATGGTACACTGACTGCAGTTTTCACACAGGCACTTACACATATAAACCCAGATCCTACGAAGTAGAGACACTGTATAAAACAGGTAAAAACAGAACACAATGATTTACAAATCTCATAACCCCATATTGTATTTATAAGAGGACATATAAAACAAAGAAACAAAAAAAAGCTTAAATTGACAAAATGTACTCTTTTAGGATAAAAACAAAACCCATCTCGGTAGAGAAAAATGCATCCAGACGCTTTTGAACAGAACAGGAAATAGATGGTTGCTGTCTCATTTCAATCAGTAGATGAACTGGCAAATATTTATATTGCATTGACTCACACTCACACTCACACACACACACACACACACACACACACACACACTAGATGTGTGGTGGAAATACCTACATGCTATCATAGAAGTAATGTAGGTTTTTTTTGGCAGTATCATATAACATGAATCAACAGTGGTTCAGTAATTTGATCCTTGCAAGTGCTGCAAACATAGCTGAAGTGTGGATCAAGGGCTCGAGCTTGTTGTCTCTGGTTGCTATTGTGGCTCCTGTCCTTTAGCTATTGGTTGCAGCTGTTTTTGTTTTGCCCTTCTTCAATCCTTCAGCACTGTGACGCCAAACTGTGATGATTAGTGTCGTTCCCCTGATGTTCAGGTCCCATCTGCAAACAGGACCTGCTGAGATGCTGGGGGACATCTGGTCACCTGATGTTCGTGTCGATCGAGATAGGCTCCGATCGACACTGACAGGAGGTGGAGAAGCATGCTCTGAGAGCTGGCTTGTTTAAGCACAGTTATGTTAGCGACTATTTGCTGTAGGCAGTGAAGGTGAAATGGTTCTAGGTGATTCTTTTGATCTCCCGCACTCTCTTGTTTGTCTTTTTGCCTAGTAAATGATACTATAGGCTGCTGCTGGCGACGACAAAACCCAAACAGCTAAAATAATCAGTCATTTTGTTGGTTTTCTTGATGCTGATAGCCAGCCCAGACTCACTGCAGGCATGGGCAAACTGGTTGATGAGCTGCTGAAGGTCAGTGTCACCTCTCTGAGTTGCATCATCAGAGGAAGATAATTCTCTGATGAGAACTTTAAAAGCCTTGGCCTTCAGCAGACAACCATATATGACTACCGTAGTGACCCGTAAAGGCAGCTAAACATAAGAAAATGAAAAAGAAAACAAAGTTGTGGGCAGCTGCAGTGATCATCAGATACTCATTCTGAACCCAAATGGTCATCTCAGTTCCTTGAGATCCTCTAAGAAGAGGTCATGTCCAGGTTAACTGAAAATACACACAGCAAAGAGACAGGTAACCTTTTGTCTCACTGACAATCAGACTTGCACGGTTAACCTTGCCATTTCATATAAGCATCTGTGTGCTTTATACACATAAAACCACACGTAAGCCAAATATAATGTTTATCGTCATAATAATTGCATTTGAATGAACTGTCATCATTTTGTCTTTAATCCTAATATAAAGATTAACACAGATAATATAGCAGCTGTATGTTTATGTTTTTTTTCCAGGCTGATTTGGCCCAAACTTTTTCTCTTCAGGCTGTCAGAGTGAGAGCAACATCTGCTCTCAATGATATTTTAATGATATGTTCTCTTATTTTTTAGTCTTAATTAGTCCTTTTCTGCTTTGATGAAGACTGATGGCTGGCACGCTGAATATACATGCAGTTTTTGTCCTCCAAAGTGATCCGTGGCACAGAGTGAGGATGAACAGATCTCTGGCCCTCGGAGCTGCCATGTGTCCATATAGGACATGGTAGACATCCAAACACGAGCCATCTGCAGTTCAGGAGTCATCTAAGGACACATTTTAATTAAGGAGACTAATTCAGGGGTGAGACGCAGAAACATACATGGCAGCAGTCACCACCAATGCTTCATCCAGGGGACTATATTTCAGTCATTACATTCAGAAGAAAGCTGGCCTTTAAAAATGTCACCATGTGAAGCCATTTCTGTTTCAATAAACAACTTTGGACTAATGAGATGTGTGCATGCAGCCGAGGACTTTTTAGATTGTTCCGTTGTACGCAATGTGCATGTCTCGGAGCATCTGCTAGCTTTAGCGTGCAGGAAGACAAGCCTTCACCTGCAGGCTGATGTGTCCTTGATCAAGACGCTGAATTTTTAACGGCTCTGAGCGGCTGTGCAGCTCTGACCTCCCTGTGCTGCAGGCTGAGTGAAGACAGAGTAAGTTGTGGAGCTCAGCAAAGTGTCACACATCAATAAGACTGGATTTTGCAATAATTTGGTTTTCTTTATATGAGGAGTTGGACTGTCTGTGGCTGCCAAAGGTCAAAATATGTCTCTCACAAAGAGAGGTGATAATAAAGAGAAGAAAAATCCCTGTAAGATAAAGGTCTTTTATTACTTTTTCAAACCTAGCTTTAGTGCCAGGATTTTTTTAATGCCATTTTTGGTAATATATTTTTTTAAAAGGAGAAATTTGAGAGAATAAACCAGGATAAATATAAATGGAAGCTATGACTTCATGTGACATTACACGATGCTTTACACTTATTGAAGCAAATTGCTGTTTGCTTCAGTAAGAGTGAAAGGTGTATAGTAGAAAATAATAAAAGCAGTAAACAACATTTCTTGACTTCTTGTTCTGTGTGTACTGGAGCTTACGTTCCTGCTAAACTAACAGCTTCCATTGAATCATGCAACAATAGCAAAATAATAGAAGACACACACTGATGGGAACAATGAATACATTTTAAGATGATGACAACAACTACAAAAACACTGCCAACCAGCTCCTTCTCCAAGGCATGAGACAAATTACACAAGAGTTGGTGGACAGAGGGAGCATTTGGTGAGACTCCAAATAATTTTCCTTAAAATGGTCATATTGGTGGAGGTTGAGCTCTGTGACTTTTCTGAGTGGCTAACTATATTTATCTCAACAAAAGAAAACAAGTGAAGCATAGATCTAGTTCAGGACAATTCATACTATCCTGTTAATTCAAATGGCTAATCTAGGGCACATCTGCAAGCCACTTGACAACCCACCTGTCCCCCTGCTCCTCCTTTATTGCTGTTTCTGACTTTCTGTATATGCCCTGATCAGAGACAGGCCCCCACATGCAGGTTACTGCAGCCCGTAAATCTTTTTATTCCAATAATCCTGACTGAAGTGCTGATCATTGCAACTAACTTGCTCTTCTCTTGTTTTGTACAGGCTGGGATTCCCCATGATGATAATGACATGCATGATCGGCATGTGCTACCTGCTGGCCACGCACATCGGACTGGGATGGAACATGTGAACTGTACCTGCTGCACAGAAATCCAAAGAAACTGTGTGACCACTCCTCCAAGAGTCTGAGTTCACTGTAACGTGATGTGTAACCTGACTGCTCAGTTTACCGGCATTATATGAAGCATTGCAGCCATATTTTTCAAAGCACGGAAAAGTGGTGTCTTTGAGTAAAGTGTAGACCATCAGGGACCAGATTTATCTGAGCTTTGACCAAAATGCAAGAAATTTCTGAAACAAAAATGTCACCAGTCCATTATGGTGTACATGGTGCTATGGCTTCACAGGGTAAAATAACTAGTGTAAGCATTTGAAGGTGTGCTCGCTGATGTCAGACTGTCCGTTCTTTTGGAAACAGACAAAAAAGAAACAAAAAAAGAAAAAGTGGCCTGTTTAGAAAACCAATCACGAACATTACACCAGTGGTTTACCAAACTTCTGTTTATATTTACAACAAGATCCAGTGAAAGGGATTTTCTAATGGTTTGTGTCAAAGGCAGCATCAATTTAACTGCAAAGAACCGATGAGACAAGAAAGCAGTTGTAGACTGTGGTCGAAGCATTGTATACCACCTAGTGGATTGTGTACATGTAAGCTCACTGATTTATTTCAGCAATCATATTCATCATGTAAATGCTCTCAATGCACTGAACAGCATCTTCTTACTTTATCTGTTTTTCTGTATGCATTGTACAGCCCAACATCCTGAACAGCCAAAAGGAGAACGAAAAAATAAATCGAGGAATAAATTTGCGTGTAAGAATTTATATTTATTACAGATGCTCATCAGGGAAACACAGACTTTAGACACTATTGAAAAACTTTAGACTCGTCTATTCTGCAGCCAGAGGTCAAAAGACCTTCCAGGAATGGTGATGCTATTTTCCAGAGGATTGACTGTTGATCCCTAATCTGGAACCTAACCAGCTCCAAAAGGTACTATGGCGATATAGTCTGGTAAGTGAACCACCTACTTAGCAGAGTAAACCCTGAAGTTCCTTGGATAAGCCCAAAACCTGCACAAGCCAGTGTACTCCTAGTGTCGGTCCCAAGCCCAGATAAATGGGATCCGGGACAGAATCTTTGCCAAGTCAAACGTGCAGCTCATGAAGAATGTGATTCCCTAATCAATCGTTGGTTGATCAGGGTGCCACCGCAAACTGCTACTGTTTGCTGAACACAAAGAGGAGAGGGTGAAGATTCGTGGATGTAGTTAAGAGAACATGCAGATGATTGGTGTGACAGAGGAGGATGCTAGGGATAGGGTGAGATAGAAGCAGATGCTCAGATGTGCAGATGTGGCGACACCTGAAAAGAAGCAGCTGAATGAAGAAGAGGAAGGGTTTTGGTACAGTAGAAAACAAACTGCGTTTCTTGTTTCTGTGTGGGAAATGCTTTCTGGCTCTTCAGTTAGACCGACTCTCTCGAGCTACATTCACAGCTCTACTTTCACCGTTTACCAGCAGTGAGAGAGTAAAACTGACTCTTGTTTTTCCTTTAATGAGTCAGGCTCCGGGCCAGCAAAACTCCAGCAGCACAGATCAATGTACAGCATGCAGTTCCTGTAGGACTGCTGTTCCATATTAACACTTTTTACTCCCAGGGGAACGTGAAGTGGGGGACACCTCAGCTGGTTAGAGTCACTGGAAATATGTAGCATCCACTTTGTTGCCCCTGTCGAACTGTGCTCAGGATCACGGGTAGTTAATTAAAGACCTCAGAGAGCGCTATCATTATACATTAATGTATTTAATATGTTTCAGGATTTAGAGTCATCTATAGCTGGAGGCTCAACCTGCTTTTTTCATCTCCACTAAACTTTAAAACCTCTCTCTCTCTGACACACACAGTCACACGCTGTCAAGAGTGTTTTTAGCATGGGATGACAATGACAGCCCGTCTGCCAGCAGATCTACCAGGATCTGAAATACTTCACTATTTACTCAGTGGATCACCCTGAGTTTTTTCCTTTAAACAGAGAGTATGGTTGCCAGATGATGAAAAAAAAATTTGTAAAAGTGATCCCTGCGTAGGTTCCTCATTCATCTAATTTGTCCCTTGTGGAGGTGACTCTTGGTATCCCTTCCCAGGCGCTTCAACCTGCACTCACACCTTCCCTCAGGTGATCGATACTGCAAAACATCCAAAATCCCAAAGGGGGATCTCTGAGCCAGCAAGCTCTTGTTTTTGGTTGAATTTTGCACCCTGTCATGTCTACTGAGTTTTTAGTGCTTTCCTCCCACGTCTTCTGTGTTCCCCCATCTCTGTCTTCATGTTGGCATTAGGTCTTCATCTCACACTTCTGGCAAACGCTGTTACAAGGTTACTTCCTGTTTTACTCTGAAAGTTAGTTTCCTCACGCATCTTGTTTTTGTTTTACTTCCTGCTTTTTTCCCTTCTGATCTCATCAGTGTTACTAGTTTAATTTCACATGTGCTTTTTACTCATCCATTTCTCATTTTGCAATAAGCCCTCTGGGTGTTTATAATCTCTGTTTCTTAGTCCTGTTTGGACTTTTTGACTGTTTTATTACAGAATTAAGCTTCATAGGTCATACACAAAACAAAGATTTTTCTTCAGCACCGACAAACATTTAATTTTTCTTTTAATGACTGAGGTCTCTGACAACATTTGTCCAATTAGGCTGACACAGCTGCAGAGGCTTGCATCCTGGCTGACACGGAGACACTTTTTCTGTTGTTTGCTTTGCTGTTTTGCATAACTGCTGACATTTTGTTAGAGCTGGAGCTAATCCAGCTCTTCTGTGAGCCACTTATCTGGTGTTCAGTTTGGTCATTCTCAATGGCAGTTGAAGCATATTTATTGTGGTCACTGACCCCAATAATATTTTCCAGAAATCCAAAGAGAGTATTACAATAAACGGACAATTTTTAAACTATTGTTATCAGACAACTACTGTGAGAATTCATGGCCTTTGCTCTCTTAGTTTTCCTCCCTGGATGTGATGTGCTCACCTTTAAACGCTCAGAAGTGACGCACAACCATGATCCTTCCTGTTTTGCCTGAACAACATTCAGATGTAAAAGCTCCTTTGATTAGACAGAGCATGGCTGCGTTAAGGAGACCTGGAGATGACATTCAAAGATCAGGATGACTTCCTATCAGAGCTGCTCACTGATGCATACGCTGAGAAATGTCTGCCATGTTTCAGGAGGTTTCCACAGAGTTCTGCACTTTTGGGCCTTTCTCCAGCTGAGCAGGCTGAGTCAGGCAGCCTGCCTGCGTGTACCAGATAAAATAAAATATTCATCTGGTTCTCCTGGGCTTCCCATATGTTAATGGACTGAACAGATAACATTCTGATAACAAAACTGTAGCAGTTTGTGATGCTCATGAAAATATCAGCCCTGTTCACCTTTTCATACCTTCTTTTTCTTGGGAATATCTGTGTCTTTCCAACCCATTGTGAAATACTTTTTTTTAGCTATGCATTACTCAGGTTTAAAGCAGACATATTCTGTCAGAGTGACACTGAGAAATGCTTTGCTGACAAATGCGAAACATGAGATGAACTATGCTAAGCTAACAAGCCAATGGAGGAGTTAATAAAAGAGTGGAAGCTGCTGCCATCTTTCACTAACCCAGCAATGATGAATGCAAGCAAAGGAGCTATTAACCTCCCAGTTATCATACATCATGTTAGTCCAATAAGAACTTTGTTATCAAGTTCTTGACCCTATTTATTTTGTATGGACAAGCAAATGTACCTCTGTGATATACAGTAGTGTATCAGGGTTACTGAAGGTAAAAAACAAAACAACAAATTTACAAGAAAAAGAGGCAGTACCAACGTTAAGTAATGAAACTTATGAAATTCACAGCTGAAAACAGTTGATTCACTTACCCTAACTTCACCAATCAGGTTAAGTGGGCGCACAAAGCTGGTTGCTAAGTTAGCCCAGGGGGTTCCCTGCACTTTCACATGAGAAGGGTGGAGCCGGTGAGATCTGACCAATCAGAATTACTGGCAACAGAGTGGCTGATTTTACACAGGAAAAATAAGCTGTGTCCCAAAACGTAGGCCGCATCCTTTGGAGGACCCGGCCTTCATGGTCTACGTGGGCCGGGTCCTTCGAAGACCAAGAAAGCTGGAAGTGTGAGACTGTGAAATGTGACAGTCTAGCCTTCAGATTTGCGTCACCGCTGTCTCGGTGGAGTTAAATAAACTCGGCCGTCTGCTCCTTGCTATCTAAAATAGAACAGGACACTGGCGTAAATTCTCGACTGTCTCACACTTCTGTTTAATCAGTTTTCTGTTTGACGTTTATTCAGCTGTGTGAAAATCCCGGAGGAACCCACCCGATGGATTAATAAAGTTTTATTTAATCTAATCTAATAATCTAATAACTTTGATCTCAGCCAAACCAATTTACTCCGGAGCAAATAAAACACTGAAAAAAGCCAAACAATTACATTTTTACGTTATCCGAGTGACTTGTATATCATGTTTAACCTGAGTAGCGAAAGACTGCGGGGGTCTGAAAACGATGAAGCTGGGAGTTTGCTGTTCTCACCCCGGATAGCTATCGAGCGGGTGGGTAACAGACATCTCCGAAAACGTCAGCACTTTTGCAAATATGCGATGTCTTGATAAACCAAGCAGATATTTGAAATTTAGACGGCTACTTTTGTTAAAAGTTTATTTTGTGACCCAGAAAGATTAATAAGAGTAATATTAAAACTTAGTAGCGGCCACCATTGTTGGAAACTGGAATTGGCTGGGCCGTGCTATGAATTCTGGGATATGGTGGGCCATGAAGGACACACCCGACCCATCCTTCAAATTCGGGGAAATGAAGGACGCATTTGTCGGCCACATTTGAAAGAGTCGACGAATTGGGACAGCCTTCGTGGCCTGGCTGTGATTGCCTTCAAATGCGGCCTCCGAAGGATGCAGCCTACGTTTTGGGACACAGCTATAAACTACAGCTACCATGGGGGAACCAATCTAAACAGATTATACATTAATACACACTGAGAGCAGTGCAGCAGCTGCAGACAAAGAAGCAAAGTAGTACAGTAAAAAGAGCAGCGGTTTTAAAAGTGTGCACTTTAAATATTTTGGCCAATAAAACTGGAAAAGAGCTGGTACATGAAAAAAGTCTGACATATCTGAAGGTGGGAAAAAAGCTGCCTGAAAGGTAAACTGTGTGGGTTAACAGACTTATCAATGGTACAACTCTATCATTAAAACACACAATCACTTGTGTATAGTGGTATGTTTCATCCATTTATAGACTTTTCTTTGTAGAAGTTTGATATGTCCTACATTTTTGAAATCACCATGTCAACACTGACACTCCTTAAACGTGCCACCCATATACCATGTGTGGCTGTGATAAAGCTGCTGATAACCACAGCTGAATAAATCAACCTTAACTGGAAATCTGCATCCGTGTTCTTTAACTTGAACACAACCCACTCTACCTTGCCACTCTAAACCAGTTAAACTTCCCGGAGACAACATTCACTCTTTTTAATTCCAGTAATTCATTAAATTATGTTTAAAATGTTTAAATATTTAATGTCTAAAGTAGATGCTCTATTATGATTACATATTAATGCTTATAGAACAATAAAATGAGTCTTCTAACGCTGACTCAAACTTCAGATCCTCCTACTGTCCTTGCAGAGAGGATAACAATTTTGTTGTTTTTGTTTTGTTTTTTAGCTAAAGTGGCCCTAATGTGCTTTGTACTGACTTGCAGTACAAACCTATTTTTAATTCCCTTAATGTCACACAGGTGATTCTTTACTCATGTTACTCCAAACTCCACCCAAACAGGTGTTTTCACTTATTTTGCCCCATTTCTTTTGCCTTTCTGACTGGAGGGTGTGTCTGTTCACATTTCTTTCAATACTCTCAGTTTTGATGCACTTATTAAGCCTTTATCAGTCTTGCACAAACTTTATGACCTTGCTTAATCCCCGTAATTGCTCCACCCAACATCAACCTGAGGAGAAGACAGATAAGCCGAGTATCTCAAAAGCCCTATGTGGGTGAGCGGGGACTTGAATTTCAATCAAGCAAGCAATATATATTAATAGATGCACCAGAGATCTACAGCACAACAGTGCCAGCTCGCTGGTTGGACAGGTTCTTCACTATGACGTGTGCTGCTTGTGCCACACTGGTAGAATACACAGTTTGCTCATGGAGACGACAAAGCAGGTTGTACCAGCGGCAGTAAACAATGGATACTAGTGCACACGCTATACTGGCCTGACTCTGCAAACATTTCCAGCCATCCAGAGATTATTTTCGTCTTTGTGCTGGATGATTGATGGATCCCAGTGATCAGCATGTTAAATATACTTTGTGCGTCTCCCTCGGCTTCCTGCACATTATTTACTGTTGATCACATCACAAGCAGAGATGGATTTACTTCCTGTCACACTTTACTCAAAGTCTAAAGACCAAAGAGAGAGGCTCACTGAAGCCCCGACAATATTTTTTGCACTCGACATTTTAACTCTTGAAGCACAGGCGTAGAATCAAAATTGCTGCATTGTGTGCACAGTTGATTTGTCACTTCCACAGTCTCACTGCGCTCACTGGGATGTCTCGCTGGGAGACCAGTCAAGTATAGCACAGATTTTAGACATGTTTTCATGTAGCTGGCAAAAAGAAATGCAAATAAATTCATTTTTTTCCACCCACTGCAGTACAGTAATATGAATATTATGAG